ATGTATATATATACATATATATTTATGGACGTGTACATGTATATGTATATGTATATGTATATGTCAATATATACATATATATTTCAGTACGTGTACGTGTATATGTAAATGATTTAAGTACGTGTAGGAATAAAATAAAAGTATCGCTCAATACATGCACATACACGTACAGATTATCTATAATAACATAATCCCAACACATTCAGGGCTCGGTTGAAGCGATGAGTACCGGTTTGGTGCTTAGTGAACGCCATCTCAAAGTGACGGAACTCATGGCCAGAGACGAACTTCGCCTGCGTATCTTCACATTTGAGAAGGGTGTGCTGGTATGTATTGGTATACGAGCTTTAATATGTACATGTGTATGTACAAGCTCGGTTGCATATAGCGCATCAGTTTTACATGAGTGTATCGTATCATTGAGTGTTTGCCGGGCTTTTATGCCACTACACCATCACGTTTTCTCATTGTATGCGTACATATGTATACATACCTTCGGCAGACCTCCATGCAGGTATTCATGCAAGGTTGTATACACATATGTTGGTTGCACGTTGATGTATGCACGGGATCTATTCAAAGCTAGGCATACATTCTGCTCAAAGATACGCATTCACACAGTTCACATTTTCATTATAAGTGGTTCGCAGTAAAAGACCACACCACTTCTGGTGGAAGATAAAACAGAGTAATAGACACTAGGGGCGTGCTCAGGTCTATTGTTCTATACCCTCCCGTTTTCATACAACTAAATATCGAGTATATCCTTTTAATACATGAGCATTACACTCATGTAGTACGTACCCTATCAGCACTCATATAACAATATCCTCCCGCACAGACTGCGGCAAAAGGAAGCACAGGCATGCAACACATGATTGTCGACATGCTGCTGGTAGATCTGAATGTGGCGCGCAAGTGCACAGTCGACGAAGACGTTCGTATCGTAGTAAGTCCCGATAAGCTGGACTACGAGTTCGACCGAAAGGACGATTTCGCGGTGAGAGTTGCGCTGAAAGTTCGGCACTTGTGCACCAAAAAGGTATAGGGCGTTGTTGATGCAGTGGATCCGAGTGGTTCGTATGTGAAGTATGCGAGCGCACGCCATGTGTGTGCACGTTTTAGTAGTTTGTTAATGTATCGCTTAGAGATGTGAAGTCTGTGGACAGAATACTGTGTATTATAGTTTTGTGCATTCAAACCAGTAGCTCAATTAAATTGCTTCTTGTCTATTTTGAAACCCTAAAACCCTAAAATCCTAAA